AAAAAAAAAAAAAAAAAAGAATTTAAAGGATATTTTATAAGGCTGTAAGACAACCATGAGTTGCATTAATAATTAAAACTGATAAACTGGTAGATTTCTAATATAATTTATGGCTATATTTTCTGCAAAAGTCTGTGATACTAGCCAATTGTAAATTTTAGTGAAGTTTTTTCCCCCCAAATATGTGGGTTTTTTATTTAATTGGTACTAGTTTGGTATGTAATCTATTATTTTGTATTACAGGAGTAGTATGGGAGAAAGGATTTTAGATGCTGGAGGTAAGTATGCTTTCTCAAAATGTTCATATTTGAAATTATTCCAAATTTACTAATAGAAAATATTATCTCTTTAGTAAAAATAATATTAACATTGTAATGTAGTGAGATTATGTGAGGAAATTATAAATTATGTACAATCAAGCAATTTTTAATTACTAATAGGTGATTAAATGATCTATATCTGTGAGACTAAAATAATAATTAAACATGCATTAGGAGTCTTCAAATATAAATTGTGCCTAATGGTAGATTTATGAATAATAATTTTCTAACATTTGAATTACTTTCCGTCCTCAAATGGTGTTTCATGAATTTGGAGGTTTAATATTTTGGGGACTTACAGATTTGTTTTTAAGCAATGTGTTTATTAAAAGAACTCAATCTTTTCTAAGTTTCATATGAGAAAATTTTGATGTAGTGATTTACATCTAGAACAAACCACTGGTTAAAATACTTTGGAATAACTATAACCATCATATAAAAGTAAAAGTTTCTGTGATTTATGGACTATCCTGTGAGTTATTTTGCAATTCACAACTCTAATAATGGAATGGCAGAGTCTTTGAATTATTTAGGAGTTTCTTTCAAATACCCTTTTAAAAAAAAAAAGTTTTACTCCTTTCTTCTATTAGTAAATTTGTTATTTGGGCTGTATTCATTTCTGAGCTGATGAGATCTTTCTAATCCATATGAACAAAATGGCAAAAGATGAGTGAATGACACTAATATTTTCTTCTTTCTCTTGCTTGTTCTAATTCCTTATAAACAATGACTTTTATAAACTTATTTTTCATAATTTCCAATAATACATTAACAATTTTTTTTTAAGATTATGACTTACAAGTAGGTATCGTAGAAGCACTATGTAGAATGACTACAGAAAAACAAAGACAAGAACTGGCATGTCAGTGGTTTTCAATGGATTTTATTGCTAATGCATTTAAAGGAATTAAAGACTCTGAATTTGAAACAGTAAGTAGTATAAAAATAACAAAATAACAAGAGGTTTTTTTATTACTATGCTTTTTAAAAGTCTCTTTTTTTTTTTAAATTAGGATTGCAGAGTATTTCTCAACCTTGTAAATGGCATGCTTGGAGACAAGAGAAGGTAAACTTAATACAGTAGTCAACCATTTACTCATAAAGAACTAGCTCAACCGGGAGAACACAGTGTTGAATCTTTAAAATTTATTTTGTCTTTTGGGATGTAAAATGCACAGGGATATTTAAAACAATATCTTATTGTAACACCATGTAATAACTTACTACACTGGTAGACTGAAATAATCTCCCACTTGTCTTATTTTACTTTGTACTTTTTAGCAGAATTTTGAGGAATAATAAAAATCTCGTATAAATATTATTTGAGCTACCTCCTTCATCCACATACTGGAATAAAAATATATAGCAAACTATCTTTTTTTTATAATTAATGCACTGTAATGCTAACCTCTTTCTGAGGCTATTTAATCTCAGGAATGGGCATGAATGAAAGGTAATTATCACTTTTGATAGTAGCAGAGCAGTATTTGCAGTTCATTGCCTGGCACCATATTATAGATGCTCAGGACATCTTTATTGGATGAATGAGTTCACATTTACTTTACTTACTAAGGAAACAAAGACAGGGTGAGGGTTGAGTGCAGGGACTCATGTTATTTAGATTTGAATCATAGGTTCCCCTCTTGCTATTCTAATGTTGGGCACATTATTAAACTTACTTGTTTCAGTTTTCTTAGCTGTAAAGTAAGAATATTAATAATACCTACCTCATATGTTTGTTGTAGAAATTAAATGAGATGATTATATATTAAGTGCTTATAATAAAAAATAGCTGACCAAGAAATCATTCGGCAAATTCAGTCATTTTTATTAGCTGTATTATTCATTCCTACTCTTCTTTTCCCATGTAAATCCTATGGGAGCTTCCACTATCTTAATAGTATAAGCTAAAATTAGGAATTTCTACTCCTAGTCAATAGCATAAAAAGTAAATTGGTATAGTCACTGTAGTCAGAATGGGAGGTTGAGTAGTATCCTCAAAATAATATACATTTTCTATAGAAACAAATTTCCATGAAACTCTTATTTTAGTTTAGAAAGAGATATGACTTTATTTAAATCATTAGGACCACAGCCTGATTTCCTTTTGATCCTAGACATGATTTCTATGGCTAGTCAAGATTACGGTGTGAAGGCTTATTAATATTTTTTAACGCAAACTACTTTTTATTTCAGGGTCTTTACATTTCCTTGTATATCAGCATTTCTTGATAAATATGAGGTAAGTTTTAACTATAACGTTTTAGTTACTGGATGAACTTTGATATATGGTCTAGTAAATTACAGGTTACAAGTTGACAAGAATGTTAAAAATAGTCATAACTTGATCACAAATATAGCTGGTCTAGTATTCTGTGAATAAGAGCCATTTTATGAAGTGACATTTTTGTAGCCAGGGGTAACTGAAATATAAAGCCTGCACTTCAGATTTTCTTTTTTTTCCTTTAAGTGAAGCCCATTGATTTACCATTCATTAATATATTCAAACTAATATTTTCAACCTTTATTTGTACTTGGAATATTTGTGATTTCTTGGAGCTAGCTAATTTCTGTGTAAGGTATTAAAGCAGCATTTCTTTTGATTGTTTCTAAATTGGTTTAAATGCTCTACTTGTCTTGTCCTCTTTTCTTTAAAAAAAACAAAAACGGGTGCCTCTGTGGCTCAGTCATTAAGCGTCTGCCTTCGGCTCAGGTCATGATCCCAGAGTCCTGGGATCGAGCCCCGCGTCGGGCTCTCTGCTCAGCAGAAAGCCTGCTTCTCCCTCTCCCCCCGCTTGTGTTCCCTCTCTCGCTGTGTCTCTCTCGGTCAAATAAATAAAATCTTAAAAAAAAAAACCAGAAATTCAACCATGAGTATAACATAGTCATGCTTTTCTATGGTCACTTTTAAAATCATAGTATATAAAAGTTTTTTATGTTTGTTTTATTAGTTGCAGATACCTTCAGATGAAAAACTTGAGGAATTTTGGATAGATTTTAATCTTGGGAGCCAGACTCTATCATTCTACATTGCTGGAGATAATGATGTAAGCTTTATTCTAGCTAACATTTTATGTTTGTATATGTGTTTATATAAAATGTTTTAATTTAAGAATGTGGATTTTTGTATGTTTATTTTTCCAGCTCTTTTAATGGAATTCAGTATTAACCCTATGGTTTTGATTAGCATGGTAACCCATTCAGTTAATTACAAATGAAGATTATTTCTGATGTTTTATTGCAACAGAAAAATTAATGCTAGATTTTAATACTAGTTTTTTTAACCTAAGATTTTTCAGAAATAAATTACATGTTAATGACATAACATTTAACATTCATATGAACATATGGACTGGAATCTAGAAAAGATACCAGTTATTCAAATGTGAAGGCACTCATTTAAAAATATTTTAACAAATACTGATGAGTGGTCTTAACCATTCATAAAATCTATTTAAAAATAGGTATTGATCAAGCTTCATGGTGGAATTAAATTTCTGCAAGGTAAAAAAATAAATAAAAATAAAAAATAAAAATAGGTATTGATTCTTATGGTAGTATTTGGAAATGATTTAGTTCTTTATGTGCTATATTGTAACTATATTTAAACCTTCCAACCAGATGGTATGTTTTCTACTGACTTCTTTTTAACCTGAAGAGAATTCTTGAGCCATTGTTTCCAAATAGCTACCACTTAGTATTTAGTCCATGGGCATACTTCGAGTCTGGACTGTATAGTCACTTTGTAAAAATCCAACTAAGAGTTGATCTGCATTTACTAATCTAATTGTAGTTGCTGATATTTTAAAGAGGATCTAGTCTTTTTAGTCTGTCTCTTGTAAAATCCCACGTTTTGTTCCAGGTAAACTACAGATAGACATTAAACAAATGCCCCCGAGGATTTCCACATACCATTATTTTTATTTAAGAGCACCTTCATAGAATGCTTAATTAAAATTGAGTTCCAAATATTAGCACTACTCCTCAGGGTTACTGACAGTTTTTAATGGTGTATTTATTCCAGCAGAGTTTGTAGGAATATTTTTTAACTGGCCTTTCTTTAGAAATTAACTTTAATTTTGGAAGAAGAGGATAGAATAGGATCAATGTAGTCCCTGCCTTCACTCAGTTTGGTCTAATGGATAATTCCAACAAGAAAATAAGCAATTATAATATGATATATGGTAGGGATAGACTAAAATGCATTTATAAATGTTAAATGCCTGCCATATGCCAGAAACTAACGTAGAAATGCAGGGAGATTGCTCCAAAATATGTATTTAGAATCCTCTCTTTCCTGGATTTCTGCAGCAGTAGAATGTTGCCTGTATTCTTTCTGAATTTCCTAAAAGCCATTCTCCATGGAGTGGCTGCTTAAAATCCTTCTTTTGTCTCATTGTGTATGAAGGTCTTAATGATCTGGCCCCTAGCTATTTCTCTAACATCTCAGACCATTCTCTATGTTTACTATGTTCCAGCCACATTCATTTTTTTTCTGTGTCTTTAACAAAGATCCTGTGCATTTCAGATCTTTCTACTTGCTGGTTCTTCTGCCCGGAAACTTCCAGATCTTTGCATCTCAGTTTCTTCCCATTTAGATTCACTATAAATATTGCTTCTTTATAGAGATATTCTCTGGTAACTCAATCTAATGTTTAAAGTTGCCTCCCAACCATATGATCTTTGCAATAGATGCAAAAAAAAAAGATTTGACAAAATGCAGCATCCTTTCTTGATTAAAACGCTTCACAGTGTAGGTATAAAGGGAACATACCTCAATATCATAAAAGCCATTTACAAAAAGCCCACTGTGAATATCATCTTCAATGGGGACAATCAGAGCTTTTCCCCTAAGGTCAGGAACAGGACAGGGATGTCACTCTCACCACTGTTGTTCAACATAGTACTAGAAGTCCTTGCCTCAGCAATCAGACAACAAAAAGAAATAAAACGCATCCAAATCGGCAGAGAAGTCAAACTTTCACTCTTCGCAGATGACATGATACTCTATGTGGAAAACCCAAAAGACTCCACCCCAGAATTGCTAGAACTCATATAGGAATTCAGCAAAGTGGCAGGATATAAAATCAATGCACAGGTATCAATTGCATTTTTATACACTCAGAAGAAAGAGAAATTAAGGAATCAGTCCCATTTACAATTGCACCCAAAACGGTAAGATACCTAGGAATAAACCTAACCAAAGAGGTCAAGGATCTGTACTCTGAAAATTATAGAACACTCACAAAAGAAATTGAGGAAAGCACAAAGAAATGGAAAAACATTCCAGGGCACCTGGGTGGCTCAGTCATTAAGCGTCTGCCTTCGGCTCAGGTCATGATCCCAGGGTCCTGGGATCGAGTCCCACGTTGGGCTCCCTCCTCGGTGGGAAGCCTGCTCTCCCTCTCCCACTCCCGCTGCTTGTGTTCCTGCTCTCGCTATCTCTGTCTCTGTCAAATAAATAAATCTTTATTAAAAAAAAATTAAAAAAATAAATAAAAAAAACATTCCATACTCATGGATTGGAAGAACAAATATTGTGAAAATGTCTTTGCTACCCAGAGCAGTCTATACATTCAATGCAATCCCTATGAAAATACCATCAACACTTTTCACAGAGCTGGAAAAAATAATCCTAAAATTTGTATGGAACCAGAAAAGACCCCGAATAGCCAGGGGAATGTTGAAAAAGAAAAGCAAAGCCGGTGGCTTCCGGACTTCCAGCTCTATTACAAAGCTGTCATCATCAAGACAGTATGGTACTGGCCCAAAAACAGACACATCGATCAATGGAACAGAAGAGAGAGCCCAGAAATGGACCCTCAACTCTATGGTCAGCTAATCTTCGACAAAGCAGGAAAGAATGTCCAATGGAAAAAAGACAGTCTCTTCAACAAATGGTATTGGAGAATTGGACAGCCACGTGCAGAAGAATGAAACTGGACCATTTCCTTACACCACACACAAAAATAGACTCCAAATGGTTGAAAGACCTCAATGTGAGACAGGAATCCATCAAAATCCTGGAGGAGAACACAGGCAGCAACCTCTTTGACCTCAGTCACAGCAACGTCTTGCTAGACCAGTCTCCAAAGGCAAGGGAAACAGGGACAAATGAACTCTTGGGGTTTCAAGATAAAAAGCTTTTGAGGAGGAGGAGCAAGATGGCGGAGGAGTAAGAGATCTAAATTTCATCTGGTCCCAGGAATTCAGCTAGATAGGGATTAAACGATTCTGAACACCTACGAACTCAACAGGAGATCGAAGAAAAGAATAACAGCAACTCTCTGAACAGAAAAGCGACCACTTTCTGGAAGGTAGGATGTGCGGAGAAGTGAATCTGAGGCGATATTCGGGAAGATAGATGGCGGGGGAGGGGGCCTCTGTCAGCCACTACCTGCAAGTGATAGAGCTGCAGAGCACAAAATCGGAACTTTTAGAAGTCTGCTTTGCTGAGGGAGGTCGCTCCAGTGGCTAAGCGGGGGGTGGAACCCTCGCTGGGACAATGTAGTCTCAGGATCCTCGGGGTCACAGAAAGACCAGGGGTGCCTGAGTGTGGCAGAGCTCCCAGGTATTGGAGCAGGGAAGCCAGCTGCAGAGACGGAGCCGAGGCATGGGCTCTCAGCTCGGGGTTGCCATAAACTGTGATCCGCGGCACAGTCGGGCCACTGCTCCTCCGGCAGGGACCCAACAAGTGGCAGATCCACAGAGACTCCCCTTCCTCCCCCGGGAGAAGTGGCACAGGAGCACACTGCAGGGATCTGCTGGATTTGGAGACTCCACACCGAGTTGGGTGCCAGAGATAGAAACGCTCGGTCACAGGCCGGGTGAGCACAGAGTGCGGCCGGAGACCGGGGAGACAGGAGTGATTGACTGCTTTTCTCTGGGGGCTCACTGAGGAGTGGGGCCCCAAGTTCTTGGCTCCTGGGGTGGAGATTGGGAGGCCACCATTTTCACTCTCGTTCTCCAAATCTGTATGGAAAGCTTGCAGGGAACAAAAGCTCCCGAGAGCAAACCCGAGCAGATTACTTAGCCCAGACCCGGCAAGGGCGGAGCAAGTCCGCCTCCAGCAAAGACATTTGGGAACCACGGCAACAGGCCC